ACCTGAGGGGAAACCACCAATGCCAACTAACCTGGATTGTCAACCCGGGGCGGGTGATCCTCACGGCTCCATACAATAGGCTGCTCACACCATCTCAAATAACGAGGTAATGTCGGCTCAACTGAGTTCACCGCCCGCTTATGGATTTTCTGATCTCGTTTGCACAGACTTGTGGTGAACACATGATATTGACCACTATTCAACTGCTTTGGGTTGCTTTGATAGCCAGACTACTGCTGCTAATCCCCTTGGCCAGATTGTTGATTAAAACCGCCTTGATTGCCTTGGCCTTGAAACCCAGAGCTTGAACCGCCACCTCGAAACCCAGGTCCATGAGAGTTGGATCCTAAACCGCCATGCGGGACATGATTATTTTGGGAAAAATTAGAGTTTCTATACTCCCTCATGATGAATCCATCCTTCCATAGATGATTGGCCGCCCTATCCTAGGTTCCGTGCTTTGGGCAAGGCTGATTCATCATAGCCTCAAGGTTGAACTTCGGCCCTCCAAACTGGGGCGCTAGCGTTTTTCCCTTACGACACTAGTTATTACTCTGCGTATTGGTGTTAGCCACAAAGTCTAAACCGTCGTCAGCCTTGCGCTTACCATTACCATCTTGACTCACCGTGTTATGTTGTCCCTTTGAATTGCCATTCTTCTTCCCTTTTCCAATTTTTTCCTCAATAGACTCAGGGTATTTAGTGCTATCAGAGTCGACGTATTTGACGAGAGCCGCCATGAGCTCCCCCATATCATTACAATTGCGCTTAAGCCGCCCCAATTTTTGCTTAAGGGGAAGGAAGCGGCAATTCTTCTCCAACATCAGGACTGCTGAACCAGCATTGATAATGTCCGATGAGTGTATAACAGCTGGGATCCGACGTACCCAATTGATTGTTGACTCGCCCTCTCCTTGGACGCAAGAATCCAAATCAAGAATTGACATAGGCTGCTTGCACGTGTCTTTAAATTTTTGGATAAAACGTGCTTTCAACTCCGCCCATGACCTGATGGAGTTAGCGGGCAGCCCCTTGAACCAAGTATGAGCCGGCCCATCCAACATCATGGTGAAATACTTACCACACACAGCATCACTGACATCCAACATCTCCATAGCCATCTCATAGCTTTTAATCCAAGCCTCTAGGGGTTGATCCGTTGTGTAGTTAGGAACCTTACGGGGCCCTTGAAATCCTTAGGCAAGCGCTCATTGGGTAGAGCCGACACAAAAAATGGCATGCCCAAGGTTTTAGACGTCACCCCTATCTCCACGGATGCCGATGGACAAACCGGAGGTTGCTGTTGAGCCGCCAACTGAGCTGCCAGCTCAGCCTCACATCGCGCCCTGCCATGGTCCACCAAAGCCTGAGCATCATTACTAGCACGCGGCGGGTCAAGCCTATGAGGCTGATTTCGGTGCCGCTCACTGCCTGATACAACCGGCTCATCACTGTGTCTGCTATAACTCTGGCTTGGACGTGGGGTTGAATGAATCCGATCACGACTGTATGGATAAGCCGCCTATTGAGTAACATCCGTCTGAAGAAGTTCTCTAGATCACTGTATTTCCATCGCCGCTGGCGACTCATCCTGAAACGGGAGAGCCACAATCAAGAAGCAGCCGCTATCATGTTATCCAAAGGATTAGAATAATGACCCGGGGGCGTCGAAACATGCTAAGGAGGGGTCAAATTCAAACACGGGGAGTCTGTAGCACGTGGCTGAACTGGTGCTCCAGCCGCCGGCGCCTCAATGGCCCAATCCACCATAGGTGCATTACTGGTTCCTGCCACAAGCGTGTTGAAAAGGTTTCTCACATCGTAAACCGGGGGTAAACGGCTCACATGCCTTCTGTTAAAGACATCGTTTGATGTGTCCCGGTCCAAGCTCAAGCGAACATTTTCTGCTGGAAGTCGTTCTACCTCCCTCTCCAAGGCGTCTCGCTCCGTCGCCATCCGGGTGTTCTTAGCGTTAGATCCTCCTTTGCTTGAGCTATCTCATCACGTAAGTTTACAACGTCCATGTTATGTTGCTTTTGGTTCGCCGGGGTCACCTCCGCTGTCAACAACGTTGCCAGAGCATCCAACAGTTCAGATAAAACTTGAGCCGGCGGGCGCACAGGTCCTCCTGCCCCAGCTGCCGTTGCCATCGCTGAAAAGGAGATCATTGGTGTCGTAGTTGAAGAATTCTGCCCTGACTGTGTACCGGCCATGAAGATTGTAATCCGGTTTGGCGGCTCATAGGGGTCTGGAATACTGTCACCATCGGAACAGCCCCCAAGCCCGCCATCCTGAACTCGATACATGGATTTGGTCTCACCGGATGAGGACTCATCGCCTGAATAGACGACCATCTCACCACCGGACTCAGATCCTCCTTCCAGATTTATTCCTTGAGTAAAGCCAACAAAGACATGCTTCGGGGCGGCTTGAACCTTGACGGGTCGTGCACGCTGAGCCGTCTTGACGATGTCGGCGCAGGTGTCCGACTCTGCTTCCGACTCACCAATCTTGCTGATGAAGACATGAATTCCACCGAAGGGGACCCGGTACCCGTACTCGATTGAGCCGGCCTCGGGGCCCCAGCCCGCGTCATCGATGTAGAGCTTGCCATGATGACTCTTAGTCATCCGCCCACAACGTATCCCTTGAGCCCTGCGAAGCTGCCCTTCAAGAACTCGAAACCACCGCGCGCTGGCCCCATGGGGGCGCCAACTGTCGTGGAATTATCACGGCATATGCCCTAGCATAAGGACTTAGGTGTGGAGCCATCACAACGTAGTTAGCTTGAAGGGGTCAAAATGGGACAAAGGACACAGAGAGTTTTACCCAGGTTCGGCCCCTCGCAACGAGGTAAAGGCCTACTCCTGCTTTAGGTTGTATTGCTTGGATTTCGATTACCAGGGAGTGAATACGCTTGACCTAGGTCTCGACTTATTGTTTCTTACCCTAACCCGCCGCCGGGTCACCCCTTTATATACACAGGCTGATACCCGGCGGCTTACAGAGTCCCGACCGTCTCATACACAATGTGTCCGGCTCGGTGACAGAACTAAACTTTCCTTAACATATAAGTTGAACATATGGCTGTTTATGCCTGTGGGCCTCAAGTCTTCGTCGGGTCTTGGTCCTTCAGTAAACTTGCTTCATGAACCGCCATCTTCAACATCTTCTTGAGCCTTCTCATTAGGAACCGCCAGTGGTATGACCCGGCCCCTCCTTGGCGGGTCATACCCAATAGTTATATCCCCAACAGTAGGTATGATGGCTATTTTGAGGAAGATATAATAAGACTTACGTGTGATAGAGCGTATCATATCACGGGGTTTGGATGCATCTGTAAAGTTTGCACCGACTCTCGACGTGAGAAAGTGCAATGCACTGTACCGTAGAGGCTAGCAAATTGCGGAAAGGTAAGAGTGCGTATAATCCATGGACTCACATTAGTCATAAAGAACTCATATACTTATTGCAAAGGTTTATTAGCCCCCAAAGCAAAGTACTACTACGCATGCCCCTAGGGGGATAGATTGGTAGGAAAAGACCATCGCTCGTCTTCGACAGCCACTCATAAGGAAGACAATCAATAATAAATCATGCTCCAACTTTCATAGCATAACGAGAGACTATACGTGTATACTTCGAGAATCACAAACCTTAACACCAATATTCTTACTAACCACAACCATTTACTAGTACCTCTCACATATTCCATCTCTATATCGCAAAACTATTGCAAGGAATCATTACATACCATATTCAGTGATCCATAAGTTTTATGTAGGATTTTATGAGTAACCATGCAATTGACCAATTCCTATTAACTCTCTAAATAGATATAAGTGAAGCAATAGAGTTTAATTCTTTCTACGTCCGCGCGTCGGGACCAGCGGGATTGGCACCCGGTCCGCAAACAGATGCCAGTTATTGGGCAGGTGAACGTCGCTCCAGGGGAGCGGCGTCCTCATCTCCCAATGAACGAGGGCAAACATCCGCGTGGATGTAGTGCCGGTCGCGCTCGCCGGCGACCGTGGGGGCGATGGTGAATGGTGGAGGCGCGGGGGCCCTCCGTGGGGGTGATGCTGGCTCTGCTTTGACGCCGCGGCGGCGGCAGCCCGAGGACGAACCAGCCTCGTGGTCGTGCGCCCCCTTGCAGCCAGTGCTCCACCACACCAGGGCTGTCGGCGGCCGGCGAGCTCGAGTAAGGAGAAGGGAGAGCTAGGGTTTGGGTGTTGGGTTTCGAGGAGGCAGCAGCGACTGGAGTGGGAGCGTGGACTGTGACCGGTCCACGACTTCCCATTTAAGAAGGACGCCTACCGCCCAAGCGCGGATGACAGGTGAGGCCGACCGCGCGTGCGCATTTATGTTGGGTGGTGGGAGGTAGATGTCCGCGTGCCACGCGGCCCCGATGCGGACGAGCGGCGCATTCGTTTGCTGTCTGCCTGGACCCAAACCAGACGCATGTTTGCGCTTAAAATAGGTCGGGCCAGACACAAACATACAAGATTGGTCCAGGCCGTCGCGCGCTGGGCCGTGAGGTCTGTCCATTTTGCCTCAAATGAAGGGGCCAGACGGGATGGGGTCGCACGCTGGAGTTGGCATAAGGAAACCGTAGGCGATGCTGTGACACCGGTTGCTCACAACGGTGACCCTCTGTGCACAGAAGATCCTCCCACCTGAACACCGCACTTCAAGCCCCCCACGCTTTCTCCCTCCCATCTTACCGTTTGGGGTCACCGACCTCCAAGTGCCAACAAGACCAGTACAGTCCAGTACAGCCCGAGGTCACCCACGTCATTGCGTCCCCCACAGTGTGAGCGTGCCCTCTGCCACTGCCATCACAGTGGCCACGCCCTACTGTTTTAAATCCCCCTGCTGCTCACCTCCGCCGCCCCCTTCCCTCCCCTCCCCTCTCCTCAAACCCGCCCCGATTCATCGGCGAGCGCCCCCGCCGTCCCCGCGACTCTCCCACCCCGCAGATCGGCAGGGCGGAGGAGGGCATGGCGTACATGTGCGCCGACAGCGGCAACCTCATGGCCATCGCGCAGCAGGTGATCCAGCAGCAGCAGCAGCACAACCAGCAGCAGCAGAGGCACCACCACCACCACCTCGTCCCGTCGCCGATGCCGATGCCGGCCGCCCCCGTGCCCCCGCACGCGCAGATCCCGGGCTCGCTGCCGTTCGGCGCCGCGGGGTCCGCGGCCTGGCCCCAGGCCGAGAACTTCTTCTCCGACGTCTTCGGGGCGTCCGCCGCCGACGCCGTGTTCTCCGACCTCGCCGCCGGCACGGACTTCGACTCCGACGTGTGGATGGAGAGCCTCATAGGGGACGCCCCCGTGTTCCAGGACTCGGACCTCGACCGCCTCATCTTCACCACGCCGCCCCCGCCCGTCGCGCCCCCGGCTGAAGCCGAGGACGCTGCCCCGCAGGTCGAGAATGCGCCGGCCTCGCTCCCCACGGTTGCTGCCGCGGCGCAGGCGGCGTGTTCTTCCCCGGGCTCACCCGACGCGTCCTGCTCCGCCCCCATCCTCCAGTCTCTCCTCGCCTGCTCCCGCGCCGCGGCGGCCAACCCAGCCCTCGCCGCCGCGGAACTCGCCAAGGTCCGTGCCGCTGCCACCGAGTCCGGGGACCCCGCGGAGCGCGTGGCCTTCTACTTCTCCGACGCGCTCGCTCGGCGCCTCCCCTGCGGCGGCGCGGCGTCCCTCGAGACGGCGTCCGACGCGCGGCTCGCCTCCGACGAGGTCACGCTCTGCTACAAGACACTCAACGACGCCTGCCCCTACTCCAAATTCGCGCACCTCACCGCCAACCAGGCCATCCTGGAGGCCACGGGCGCGGCGACCAAGATCCACATCGTTGACTTCGGCATCGTGCAGGGCATCCAGTGGGCGGCGCTCCTCCAGGCGCTGGCCACGCGGCCCGAGGGGAAGCCATCTCGGATTCGTATCTCCGGCGTCCCCTCGCCATACCTGGGGCCGCAGCCCGCGGCGTCCCTGGCCGCGACCAGCGCGCGTCTCCGTGACTTCGCGCAGCTTCTCGGGGTGGACTTCGAGTTCGTCCCGTTGCTCCGGCCGGTGCACGAGCTCGACCAGTCCGACTTCTCGGTCGACCCCGACGAGGTCGTGGCCGTCAACTTCATGCTCCAGCTCTACCACCTGCTGGGCGACTCCGACGAGCCGGTGCGGCGAGTCCTCCGCCTCGCCAAATCGCTCGGCCCGGCGGTGGTAACCCTCGGGGAGTACGAGGTGAGCCTGAACCGAGCCGGATTCGTCGACCGGTTCGCCAGCGCGCTGAGCTACTACCGGGCGGTGTTCGAGTCGCTGGACGTGGCAATGGCGCGGGACTCCGAGGACAGGGCGACGCTGGAGCGGTGCATGTTCGGCGAGCGCATCCGCAGGGCCGTCGGGCCGCCGGAGGGCGCCGACAGGACCGACAGGATGGCCGGCAGCGCCGAGTGGCAGGCGCTCATGGAGTGGTGCGGCTTCGAGCCCGTCCGGCTCAGCAACTACGCCGAGAGCCAGGCCGAGCTCTTGCTCTGGGACTACGACTCCAAGTACAAGTATTCGCTCGTGGAGCTGCCGCCGGCGTTCCTCTCGCTCGCGTGGGAGAAGCGGCCTCTGCTCACCGTCTCTGCTTGGCGGTGACCCCTTCCTTCCTTCTCCTTGCAGTATTTGCTCCTCCTCGTGTTCGATCGATCCACGGAGGAAATTAATTAATGGTTAGCAGCAGATCGTTCTCCTTGAAGCTTCCTTTGTAATTTGTATTGCTAGTTTCATCCCTCCCTTGAAAAAAAGCTCTGTTTATTTAGGATTTCCGATTATATATGGTAGTAGTAATGGCTAGGATTGGGAAATTTAGTTGGAACCAGCTTGTCAGATGCCTGTTTTGCAGCATGTTATTATAGCTGGGGTTAAGTAGTAGACCAAATGTAGCGCTAATTGTATAGGATGAATTTAGAGCATGCCATGCCTTTAGGGGGAGATTTATCATCGCTCATACTATGATTTTTGGATTATGGTAATGATGTTATTATGGATGCCGCACATGAAATTGAAAGGTGCATTAGCTTCTCTAACATTAATTGTCTTGGTGGTAATATTGCTGTCAAGGTGTGGAGGATACTTCCATCTACATTTCCAAGTTAATAAGTCTCCTTTGCAGCTTCTGAACTCCCCTTTCCATGTTCTATTATGAAGCTCTTTACGTAGTTCTCAATTTGAAGTTGTCGTTTTATCTTTTATCTGAGTAGGTAGCCAGGCCGAATTTGTTCTTACATGAGCTAATTTTGGGTTTTGTCGACAAACCCCGGTGATCTCCATTGTAGTCGTGCATTACCATTGTAGCCAAATCAATTAGGTGAACTTTGTAATTTTCATTAGTTGTTACAAAGTATTGACTTAGCTGTGACTTGTCAAGCTGTATATACTGTATTTAGCACCGCAATTTGAGGTTTGCGAATGTGCAATTCGGTACTTGCACATTTCCTTAGCAGCAAATCAATCAAAGCAAATGTAGTATTGTCAGTTATGTCTTGAAAATTGTTCTCTCGTCGTATACTGTATATATACCAAGTTAAAGTCTCCTTTGCAGCTTCTGAACTCTTTTTTCCATGTTCTGTTGTGAAGCTCTATAAGTAGTTCTCAGTTTGAAGTTGTCGTTTTATCTGAGTAGGTAGCCAGGCTGAATTTGTCCTTGCGTGAGCTAATTCGGGGTTTTGTCGTCAAACCCTGCTGATCTCCGTCGTAGTCGTGCATTTCCATTGTAGCCAATCAATCAAGGTGACCTCTGTTCTATTTTTCATTAGTTGTTTTGTTACAAAGTATTGACTTGACTATAACTTGCGCGTACTGTATACTGTATTTAGCACTGCAATTTGAGGTTTGCAAATGTGCAATTCAGTAGCTGCACATTTCCTTTGTAGCGAATCAATCAAAGCAAACATAGCATTGTCAGTCATGTCTCAAAAAGTATTATGTTATTACTGTATACTGTATAGACTACTCTGTTCACGGCTAGCTGTATATTACTAGCAACCAAATGTTTCCATTCAACTGTTTGCTTTGATAAATTATGTCTTCGAAATATTTTCCCCCTGGACTTGTATCTGAATAAACTTGCTCCAAGTTTAGGTAACTTTCATTCTTGGCAAGCACATTTTTCCTTCACTCAACAGCTTATTTTGATGTGCTCCATAATGTGAACCGGTGCTACTCCAGCACTCTGTTACATTTCTTTGTTGATGATACAAGGCGTTAGAAAATTTATCTTGACCTAGAAGGTAGCATCTTTTTTTAATAACACCTGCTTTGCCTCTTCTTCTGGAGCTTTAATTTGTTTATCTTTGACCGGCTTTTGCCTTTTGGCCATCTGAACTTGAGAATAATGTCGTTTGCACGAGGAGATTGCATACGCCCACACCTGCTGTTGTTTTCAGGTTCTTTCGGTTCCTTGGACTAATGCAGTTGCCTGGTTGGCCTTTTAAATAGTATAGGGACCGTAAAAGTCATGACCAACCAAATTACTAATGGCTGTCAGGATGTACAGCTAGCGTTGCCCTGTCCTGGCTCACTCGGGCAAGGAATTCTAAATATAGCATGGCCAATAAACAGTTGCACAATTCTAAATATAGCATGGCCAATAACAGTTACAGTAGACACCTTTCAGTGTCCCGGTGATTTACCTGCTCTAGAATTCATGTTTTGGGCACATCGGCATCGTTTGAAGCCTGACCGCCTGGTTTAGCTGCACCTAATTTCCAAAAAGGAACAGCAGAAGTGCACTGCAACTTCAGAGTCTTTTTCTAGGGGTCTGGGGTGAGTGCTGGCTGGGTGTGGCCACGATCTTGACTCTCGCGGCCACTTGGAGTTGTCGCAGCAGGGCGTCCAAAATGGCCTGCACTCTGATTCGATTTGCGTGGAGAACTCCAACAAGAGTGGCTGGCCGACTAGTCGGCCAACTGCGGCTGTTATCATCGTCATCATCACATCTCCTTGACCGGCCGGCTTGACGTTCTGCCACTGGTTCGACTGGATCCGTGCGGGCAGCGGTGCTCCCCACTGGGAGTGTACATCTACGTCGGAAAGCTGAGAGCCACTTTGGTTGTGTTTGTGTCTTGAGTGGCAGTACCAGATAGTGGTAAAGAGCGATGAATGCATCGTGCAATGCTGACTGTTGCGGTCTGGCTTTTGCGGGACCTCAGGTTCCAAAGGGGCCGGAAGAGAACGGTCGTGCCTATGGTGTGAATCATGCTCCTTGGCCCCAGAAGGCGACTAGTATGGCCAGCAAATGCAGCACTTAGGCGGAATGACTCGCGACGTTGCACAATGCTGGAGCATCTCTAAGGGAAGCCCACATGCCTTCTCCA